CACTTTATACTCCCCCCTGGGCTACCTCCCGCTGGCACTGAAACCAAACCAGCAGGTATTCACCCTCTGCAGCCGCGCTGGGCCAAGACGACGGCGCTGACGTGCCTCATATCTCACCTGCTCTATCTCTCTCATATTTTACCTCCAGCTACATTCTCTGCCCTCCCTAACACTATAAAGTCCCTGATTTAAGGCTTAGTGATTATTGGCTGTTGTCATGTTATTGGAGAAATATGTCCTCCAGCTGTGTCATGACACTATTCCAGATGAAAATATACTTCATGTGTGTATAAATGGGGAATATGAATCATAGGCGTTATAATAGAAAAAATCCTCGTTCGAAAGCCTTTAAAATTCTCCGGGTGTTGAGCTTACTGAAGGTCAAAGAGCAGAGTCCAGTAGGACTCCACTAAAGCCACTCTGCCCCGTGGCAGGCGACCCGTAACGGAACCGGACCCACTTTGTTTCTCTTTCTTTTTCCCGCCCAGACTGCGGCCTGAACGTCCACAAGCAGTGCTCCAGGCTGGTGCCGTCGGACTGCCAGCCGGACCTGCGGCGGATCAAGAAGGTGTTCAGCTGTGACCTCACCACGCTCGTCAAGGCCCATAGCACGCCGAGGCCCATGGTGGTGGACATGTGCATCCGCGAGATCGAGCGCCGAGGTGAGGCCCCGCCCCCCACTTACTCCATCCGCCTCCGGGGTCGACAGCAGCAGGGCAGAACCAATCAGATTCAGACTCCGCTTTGATTCTGTACTGTCACATGCAAGAGCTAGACTTGCTGTCACAAAGTGCATTTCCCAGAATGCCGTTGATGACTTTGAATTCCGGGAGGGCTTTTCTGAAGCATCTTAACGTCGACATTTAGCTGGAGGATGAGTATGAAAGCAGCTTCTGCTCCAGTGTAACACGCTTGGGAATATGCATTTCCAGATACATTTTGTTAATTACTTTTCAGTATGCATTATAAACTGTAACTATAGCATAGAATCATATTTAAATTTGTTAGACTGCCAATATTCTACGTTTGTTTCTTTGTAAAATATAGTGCTTCAAAACAACAATGAAGACGAGCACGCCTTAATCACGCACCATGTGGGGGGGGTGTAGTTGGCATGGGAACTGGTGGAGGGTGAATACATGCCTGTGTGCATTCAGGGCTCCAGTCCGAGGGGCTGTACAGAGTGTCCGGATTCATGGAGCACATCGAAGACGTGAAGCTGGCCTTCGATCGAGGTAGGAATCGCCAGACTGAACCTGTGCTCAGAAGCAGTCTGCGGATCAGTATCAAATTAGTCGGGGGGGGGGGGTGTCTCAAGGCTCTGCAGCTATGAGGTTCAGAAGTTAGAGGGGGTTCTCCTGTGTGTCTCTGGTGGCCCCTACAGATGGTGACAAAGCGGACATCAGCGAAGACGCCTACGCAGACATCAATATCATCGCCGGCGCCCTGAAACTGTACCTCCGGGACCTGCCCATCCCGGTCATCACGTATGACCTATATTCCCGCTTCATACAGGCTGCAAGTAAGACACCGCCGGGTCCTACTCAAATCCAGGCGTCCGCACGGATCGCCTGAATTTTATCCCTGGAGTCTTTTTAGCCTCCTGACTGAGGGACACTCCACGGAGGCCTTGGTCTTACCGGCACGCTCCCCGTTGTAGAGATCGCCGACCCAGACGCCAGGCTGGAGGCCATCCATGATGGGCTGCTGTTACTCCCACCTGCGCACTACGAGACACTGCGCTACCTGATGACACACTTGAAGAGGTGAGAATGCCACAGCCACAGCCACCAGCCACAGCCACCAGCCCGGCCCACCTAGATATCTTGAAATTTCCAATTATGATTTAAATGATGTATCTCGTCAGGCTTGAAATTAATTTTGAAGTTCTTTTGGGAAAAGTCCATCTGATGGTGTTTTGAAGAGCAGAGGGATGACTGGGAGGTGTGATATACATGCAAACCCCCCCCGGCGTGGCTTAAAAATGTCACGGCCCCAAGTGTGTTGGGCGTCGGATGCTCAGCCGCTGTCCTTGTCCCACAGAGTGACCTCGTTTGAGAAGGACAACTTAATGAACGCAGAGAACCTGGGCATAGTGTTCGGGCCGACGCTGATGCGCCCCCCCGACCAGAGCACGCTGGCGACGTTGAATGACATGCGATACCAGAAGCTCGTCATCCAGCTACTGATAGAGAATGAAGACATCCTGTTCTAGAAGGAAGTGTGCGCGTCCCCCCAAAAGAGACCACCCACCATGCGCCGTGTAGACCACCACGACGGTCTGTGACATGCTCAGCGGGTGGCGCCCTCCTCTGTTGTGTGGATGTTACTGCATCAAATTGACTGTCGGAGGTGATGGCTTCTCCTCTCACACGGGATAAGAGCTTTGATTTGCAGGGTTTTTATTGTAAGCACTTTGGTCGCGTTCCTGCGGTTGCACTGAGCTGGCCGGTCGATCCTCGCTGCTTCTCCACCCTTGCTGATGTGCGGCGACTCTTCCGGAATGTTCCGGTCATCAGCACAGGTGGCCGCACAGGATCAGGTCAGCATCTGTGGCTGTGTGAAGAAAAAACTACAATTCACAGAATTCCATGTTATTCTTCCTCTTCAGCCAAGTTTAAAGTTTAAAAAGCTGCCAGCAATACATATTCGGCATTGATTACTGACATTATGCTGTATGATGAGAGATGAGAATTTGAAAAATTGCTTTTTTTTCTAACAAATATATGTACCTTGTCAAGTTTTGTTTGTCTGTATATACAATACGTATAATGAGCAAAACATTCTGCCCTGTATATAAAAACCTGGTGTCCTGCTTTCAATAACTGCAAATATGGTTGCGTAAGGTAATTTTGTGCGGATGGCAATCATTACTGAGACAGAAATACTGCATCTCCATTCCGAGATTGTGGGGCTTTAAATATATTGTGTGCTTTGGCTATTTTGACAGCCCCATAAAAAAAGTAAAATGAATGGAAAATGACAGCCATGTTTTCACCCAAACGACAGACTACGCTGTCATTAAAGAAATTGATCTGTGATTGTACATTGCCATATGGTGGTTTCATCTGAGCACCTTTCTAAGTCTCTGTTTGAGTTTCACCTCAATATACGATACAGCCGTGGAAAAAATTAAGACATCACTTGATATTTTTAAACAAATCTGCATTTCTCAGACAGCAGTACACAAGAATAAGGTGAAGCAGGAGATACTGGGAATGACCAGAAACCAGCCAGGTAAAGGGCAGAAGTGACTTTCTAATACCAGAGATGACTGTTAACTTATCTGACAGTTTCTCATGAATCGGTGAATGACATCAAGTGACCTTCAGAAGGAATGGGAAACATTAAATGCAGGTGTGAAGTGCTCTGCTAGGACAGTTCATATCAGGCTCCTAGAAGCAAGACTGAAGTCCCATAAAGCAAGGAAGAAGCCCTTCACTAATGAGAAGCAGGGAAGAGCCAGACTGGAGTTTGATATATATATATATATATTATTCACAGACACACACCCATAAATTGAAAAATGAATGAAACAAAAAATCGTACTGTGGTTTCAATTTTTTCCATGGCTGTGTGTGTGTACACACACACACACACACACACACACATATATATATATATATATGTATCAATGAACATACATTTGTTGAAAGGCAAGACAAACTTTAAGGTGAATGTACAAAAGTCTGTCTTTCTGTTTGTAATGGCAATACCGGCCCCACCCATCAGCCGGATATCCATGATCAGACCCCAACCATCAGCCGGATATCCATGATCAGACCCCACTCTTCAGCCGGATATCCATGGTCAGACCCCACCCATCAGCCGGATATCCATGATCAGACCCCCATATCTTATTTTGCATTTTCAAAATGTTGTATTTGTTATATAAAGGTGAGACCTTTCTACAGAATCAGCATATGGAGAAGTATTTTTTGTGAGGAATTTAAGATTAGATTGTAATATATAAATTGCAGATTAATTTATTAAAAGTGTTAAGATGCACCTCATATTGACCAGTTACATGACTCTAGTTTTTGTATTTTGTCGTCAGGGTGTGTGTGTGTGTGTGTGTGTGTGGGGGGGGGGGGGTAGGACAATTCCATGGGCCCCTGAGTGACAGAGGCCCTAAAAAACATATGGAACACATGATGAGCTTTAATTGGTCTGGGCTGGGGCCCCCATATGATATGATATAATGGGGCCCAAAACCTCCAGCAACCTCCCCGCTTGTTATGTGTGTGTTTGTGTATGAACTGAATTTCCTTTAAACTGCATAAACATTTTCATTAGAAGAAGAGCAGGCAGAGCAAACTTTAATGCAGCATCCTTGTCAAGAATGTCGACTTGTAAACTGACATTGTTGGTTCCAGTCCCAGTGTCCATGGGTGAGACAATCACCTTAAATTGCCATTAAAATTTCCAGCCGGTTTAATGGGTAAATAGCTGTAAGTAGCTTTTGTGCTTTAAACGCTGTAAAATGCAGACAAGCACATTTGTTTTGCAGTGGATTATGCGGGATGGAGTAAAATACGATCTGTGAGCAGGGCTGCGCAACTCCCAGCCTGAAACGGACTTGTTTTTTTTGCTGGGGTTCATCCCTTAATTGCTCTGTTAAAGTGATAAATTGGGTCATTAAATCCCATCAGTGGGTCTTTGTGGTGTAAAGCAGGTATAGAGCAATATGTTTTTTTTAAAACCCCACAGAGCAGAAAGCAGGAGGAACCACTGAAATCTCTATTTTGGGGAAGAAATGGTGATAGCTTGGTTTTTATTTTTAAATACTGACCCGACTGTAGGTTCTGGAGCTGTGACCCTCTGAACAGCCTCCAGATAGCAGACAGCCTTCTTCAGAACAACGGATCCCTGCAGAGAGCGGATGGAGTTCACTTGGTCACGTTTCCCGGCAGCTTAGCTGCGGCCTGACTGAGAGACACGCTCGGGAAAGAAGCAGCGATCTCCGCGACCCTGCAACGAGACTCCGCCCCCAGCAACGGCGATTATCTCCACTCTGCTGCCCCGTTCCCGCGTAACTCGGTGTACCGTCAATAACATCAACATCCGACTCTCCAGGGGCCACCTTTCTGTCCGATGAGTACCTGTCCTACCAGCAGCACACGCTGCCAGCCGTCGCGAACCGGGCACTGCCCAGCGTAGTCACTAGGGGTCGCACTAGATACATTCCCTCTAGGGAATGCGATTACCGGTTGGGAGAAGGACGGACGCCCTAGTCTCATGCTGGGATAACTTGTAGCTTCAGGGCCCACAGGAAAGTGCTTCAGGCTGTTTACCTGTGTCGACGGCGGTCGGGGGGACATATCTATCACAGTGCAGGTGCAAAAAGCAATTCTTTCCTCGTGAAGGAAAAATGTTCCTATTTAAAAAATATTTAACTTTGCTTACAAAAAAATCCTCCCATTTAGGATACATAGCGCGGATCCTGAAATAATACTGTAATAACTGACGAGCTGAGATAACTTCGTTAATCTGCAAGCGTAACTCAAACTTGAGTATCTGGAACGTAAACCGCTGAAGGAATATTTCGTGTGTGAATCACGAGATCAGCCAGAGATAAGGCCCCGATACTGAGGCAAGCAGGTAAGAAAGACTGCTGTGTAGTACACAAACCTACTCAATGAATACACGGAAAGCTGAATAAGCGCCAAAGAAATTAATTTTATTTTGTATTCTATACTTTCTTTAATCTTATGAGATGATATATATCAGTCATGATTCGTTTCCCAGATAGATGGATCATTATTATTAGTTTAATTGATGGTTTATTAGAACATAATAACAATAATTACATTAATAATATTCATAATAATCATCATCATAATATGTAGTTGTATTGGTGAAGTATGAGCCTTATTTGGTTACTTAGCATGACGTACTGAGCTGCTTTTGTTCAACAGCATTATTACGATTTGAAAGGTTTACCCGACCGCGGCTAAGGCGGGATGCGCTTGTGTACTGTGTTTAAGTAAGAGCTTAGACATTGTTTCATTGTGGGAAAAAGGTACGCCGTGTATAGCCAGGTAACCACCCCCCCTTCACTTTCCCAGCCCAGTTCAGATCACCTGTGCAACGGACCAATCGTGAGCCAGTACAGGTATGCAATCAGCCAATGAGATCCTCGGAGGAACAATGCGGCTGGTCTGGTAAATAGCGCTGACTCTTCCCTTAGTTGCCTTTCGAAGCGGGTTTCAGAAAGATGATGGCCTTGGGCAGTCAGCTTTAATTTAAATCTACTCAGTTTTGGTAGGATTAAGCTAACTTTATGAATGACATATTTTATATATTCAACGTATATTCTTTCATAGAGTATGATTTTTGTCCTTGTTACAGGTCTGAGATGGAAACTTTATTCGAAGTAAATTAGCTGAATCAATAAATCAGCGCTGAGTGTTGGTGTAACATTTGTCTTCAAGCTGCTGGTATATAATACTGCATTACCGTCCTTGAGACTGGTCAGACCAGGTGAGTGACTGTGGACAGGTGTGGGGAAAATAGTATATATCGCCGTGGCGAGACCGGAAAACTGGTCTTCTTTCTACGCTTGACACCGTATTTCCTTCTGACCCTGTATGAGTCTGATAAACACACGGGTGGTGTATTTCATCCTTAGGTGAACAATATTTGGATCGTAACCTACACTTTCTGCAACATGCTGCGTATTCAGTTGCTTAAAATTATTCGACCGGCGGATCGATGAAGTACGTGTCCTATACTCGCTAACGCTGTTTCTAAAACATATAATGTCTCTCAGACATTATAGTTATATCTACAAGTTGAAAAGTTAGTATGCCTCCTGTTTTTTTCTAATACGTGCACGTGGGAAAATGTCCAAAGGGAATGTGAGTTTACCTATTCGATGACTCAGCTGTGTTTGGCAATGTGCAAATGCGTGTACTAATGCTGGACTTAAATTGCAAAGAAAGTTTGCGAACGCAAAAGACTATAGCTAAGCCTGCGCATTTAACGGGCGTATAAAATATTAATGCAGTGTTGCCTCTGTAGTAACGTTCAGTGAGTTCACCTGATGTGAAAATAATGGCGATCTCCTGTGAAATATTACAGTGTATATGAATATTATTATTATTACCGTTTTCCGCAATATTCTCAAATTCAGCTTGACAAGGATATAGGATACAGAAGAGGAATCTTGTCAGTGGGAACCTGCAGGGGACATTTCGCTTTCTCATTATTTCCTTAATATGACCTTTGTCCCTCAAGTATCTCACGCACTACATTATTATGTCTTATATAAGTTCTGCAGTATAGGCTATTTATGTAGTTTTTTTTTTCAACTTTATAACTATATGACGATCAATAATGTTTAATATAACAGATTTTCAAAGAAGAGACGCCATGTCATCGAAGAATCCTTGGTGGAGATCCATAACAACCAAGCGGAAGGTCAGCGTTGGTTCCAAAGAGGCAGCTGTCCTCCAGAAACAGGAGTCTGATCTGGACCCAAGGGCCAAGGGCGCACAAGAGGATGTGCACCAGACACCTCAGCAGCAGGCCAGTCAAGTCGGCGAGGACACGAGTGAAGAGTCCCAGTTCAGTGAAAAGAGCTCGCGGAGGAACCTCAAAGTTTCCCGCTCCGGCCGATTTAAGGAGAAACGGAAAGTGCGAGCGGCATTACCTGTAAACTATGATGAAAACGCACCAGAGAATGAAGGTGTACCCTGATTCCTGGGACTAGCCTATACTGCGACCTGTTCAATACTCACATGGTGAAGGCATGAAGTAGCACATACCTGAAGTATAATTCATACACCAAACATGCGTCGCAGGCAGCGGCTAAACCTGTGCATTTATAAGATTGATTAGTTTCTAGGCATGAACAGAGTTTTAACTTACGGTGAGCGTGCTGCATGAGACGCACTTGAAGCTTGTCGAAAAGCCTTATGGGAATAGTAGTTTACGCTGGGATAAGTTGAAAACACTACATCTAAAGGAAAAAAAATCGATATATTAAAATATATTTTCTAATTTATTTTTGAATTATACTGAATAATCAAAGAACAGAATTATCAAACAAAATATACGCGTAACACTTTTCTGTAAAATGCATTGGTTTACATAATTGTCTTGTGACTAGATTGTTCTATGCAACACTAGATGTCAGATAACAAGGGACTGATTTTGTCTGAAGGAAATGAAAAGACCCAACAGAACGAAACATTCATAGGATAATGAATTGTGGATGAAAAGCACTATGCAAGCTCGAGGCAGCTTGGAGTGACGGCATGCCTCGTCGTTAATGTTGAGTATGGTGTGGAAAATTAAACAGGATATACCAGGCACATGTATAGCGATCAAGTCGAAAAGAAGTAGGATTGAGCCACAAACTGATAGGACATATAAAGTCTTTTCATTTTGTAATTATTAAGATACAGTGAAATGCGTCTCTGCTTCCAGTGGCTTGAAGGAACATAGTGTTCTGCATTTCCATATTCACTCTGTGCGTATTTACAGACGCGGAGCAGTCTTAAGTGGGCACAGACGACAGAGGGATCCATTGGCTTGGTAATGTGATACTGCGCAGGCGCAGAAAGTGAAGGAACCAATCAACCTTCGCCAGGGACGCCGTAAGGGGGAGGAAAGCTAGGACGATTCCAAGGGCCCCTGAGTGACAGGGGCCCTAAAAAATTAGGAAAATAACTGGATTGGTTTGGACTGGGGGGCCTAATATGATATGCTTTCATGGGGCCCAAAATCTCTAGCAACGCCCCTGACCTTCGCTATTAGAGGAAAGTCGGTAGGAAGGGAGGTGTTTCTTGAATCCTGGTGATTCTTTTTAAGTGAATCGATTCGTTCAACTGACTGATTCATTCGTCGATTCTGCGTTCGTCCACTGTTGGCATGTCCAAGTTTTTCACTCTTGGGAGGGCGGGGGGCTGGGTAATTTTTGGATGCTTAATAAAATGTAATTTTACTTTAATGTTAAATAAATTATGTTTTTATATATGAATGTATTATGCATTTTATTATATACTGTATTATACTCACTGTTATTTAGACCAGTGTTTCTCAAACCAGTCCTCGGGACTCCCTGTCTCTCCCAGTCTCTTCCACTTCCCTGAGAGTTGGGAGAGAGAAAAAAACGTGGGGATCCCCGAGGAATGGTTTGAGAAACACTAAATTAGATTACCCAGTGGTCCTTACATCGTCACACCAATAGGTTGATTCTCATTAAATCAACTAAACCAAAGGAACATTACCGAGATCACTTAGTTTACTTGAAAGATTCGTTCAAAAAGAACGAATTCTTCTGGGACAACAGAAGTCCATTATCTATTAATAATGAGCCCGAAGGACGTACAGCAACTTCCATCTACTACAGATGCCGGTTGCTGGTGTAAATAGAATCGTAACTATTGTTGTATGGACCAGGACTGCTCACATCTCAAAATATTTAATATTCCCGTTCATCTGATGTATCTGTCTAAGAATATTTTCCATTCTAACGTGATTACTGTGTGCTAAATGGACATTTCCAAGAAATACACTTCTGGATATAATCTGATTGCATATATTCATGTACATATTCCATGACAATTGATGTATTATTTTAATCATTAAGCTATGGTTTTAAAAGGTGTTGTTATCGTAGTTACCAGTTCGTGGATGGGACTACGTACGACTGGTTTCAGAGTAAACTCATTAAGCCAATTTGCTGGGGTTTTTTTTTTTTTTGGACAGTTATTCCTAAACCATTGCCGCGAATAGATCCAAGTTGCTGCTTTTTCCCGTTTTCCTCATGCTTGCGATTTACAAACGACATCCTGCCACTTTCTAATAAAACTGTTTTATGTTAAAACACAGAGACCTTATAAGCTTTTAATAGCTGTGCTTGTTTTTTTTTCGATATTTAAAAAGAACAGATGTCTTTGAGGACCACATGCTGCTTGCAGGACTGTAGAATTACATTTTTAGCATATTTAATGGAAGCTATTTAAACATGCTCTTACTAGATCGCTTCATTAGCACATTCTAGGGCAAACCTGGTGACTAGTTCCTGCAAATATGCTCTAAAACCGCATGGTTACTTTGGACTGTGTTCAAATCACTTCATAAACTGATTGTCACCTACAGGCATTAGTCTTATCTTGTCGTTTTGCCACGGGCGTGGACGGTGTGGTTTATATTGCAAGAGTGAGACAACAAAATGCACTTCGTTCTCGGTGTTTCTTCTTCGAATGCTTCCTATTCTTGTTTGCGCGTGAACCCGCGAGGGTAACCTCACACAGCGCCATGCTCCAAAACAACTGATTATCACAGCTCCCACGGGAGACATTATTTATTTCCGAAAGGCCGAAGAGCGTTAATGTTGCCCAGATGTCCTGTTTACAGTAAGACATGAACATTTGCTCTTGCATCACGCGTCCATAAAACCAAAGTTCAAGGTGTTTGCTGCAATAAAGCGGGGAGAGCTTTGGCGCTGCATGTACTGAAGGCGTAATGAAAACGAAGCAAACTCAGCAGAATGTTAATATATAGATTGCCATTTTATCTCTGCGATATATTTTTTTTTTTTGCGATTATTGTCCCATTCTGGTTGAATCCCAGGAGATTATCTTTCTACGGTTTTTGCAGGGCTTCAAGTTGAACATATCTAATCACTGTCACCGTGACCCAACGTTTCTGCTCTCCCTGATCAACCTGGTGTTGTGTGGTTTACTAGCTCGCACTTTTAGTTAAATTTTCCTGTGGATAGCTGTTTGGCATTATTCACAGTAGGCCTACGTAACTTATCATACATCTTAAAATCATTGGAGCAATTCTGGTTAAGTAGGCCTACCTGATAATACATCTTAGGTCACTCAAGCACCACGTAGGCCTATGATGGGCCTTCTAGGGGGTGTTCCACAAAGCAAGATTTCTCAGGAAGCTGAGTTAACTTAAAATAGAAATCATGATTGTCCAGTAGGAATGCTCCTTACCTAAACTCTTATTGGACAATCATGATTTCTAGCTTAAGCTAACCAAGATAACTGAGAAATCCTGCTTCGTGGAATATCCCTCTGGTGCTTTTACCAACAATAATTCAGTTACTAGTCTGCAACTAAACCACACGTTAGCTCCTGTATTGCGCTGATGTGGGGTAATTGACAGTCTTTTATTTAGATGTGTTAAATTATCAACAACTAAAGCGGAATCAGTTTGCACGGTGCGAAAGAAGAATGTGTCACATATGGCAGTAACCTGGAATACTGGAAGCGTGCTTAAAAATGACGCTAAGCGCTCCCTCCGAGAGCGACCCACTTGCCACTTTCGGAGAAACAGAGTCTTTAATTAGCGTCTCCAGTAACTCTCTCCAAGCAGACCGAAATTAGAGCTTCACCAGGATGTGTGAAACGCCCGATCGTCTCCAGAGAATTTGCGCTCCACATTTTAAAGTGCAGTTCCTCCTTTCCACCACTAGGTGGGCAAAACTCCGACGCAAAAAGCTTTGGGCTGTACGCTATTGCTATTACACAACGTGGTGTTCCAAGATTAAATTTCAGTTTTTAGTTTTGTCATTATAAAGCTTCCTAGTCCGTTGATTGGCCTCATCACTTTCCCGTGGACTTTAAATTTCTTTAACATTTGTATGAAAACCACAAGCCCACGTATAGCCCAATAGTTTAACTGTCTTTTTAACATTCCATATCAGTCATTATAATAGTTATATCGTCTGATTTTAATTTTATTTTCTATATTTTTTTCTGTAACTATATAGTGATCAAAATAGTTTACCGCAAGTTCCTACAACCCATCGGGTCCCACTCACTGCGCAACATAATAAAGTGTATTTATCTTGAGAAAAGAGAGAAAAAAATACATTTCGTAATTTATGACAAGAGCATGCATGCGGACTGGCACTGATTGATTGGTCAGTGTTTCTGTGCTGGGGCGGCAGGTGTGGCCTCGTCTGCGGGACCGGGAGCGCAGCTGCCCCTCTGCTGCGCGAGGGCGGCATTGTCCTGCAGCGGCGACTGCAGAAAGCTGCGAGGTACGTTTGCAAAGACGCGGACACCCCTGACAGCCACACCGGTCTTAATCTCGTCCAATTCAAGTGTAGTTGAAAAGACGTACATTTTTTGTTCACTAGTGAAGGAGTATTTGGACACGATCGCGTACGTAAGTACACGGGGTGATTTTCCCGTTGCCTTTTTAAAAGCTTTAAGCGTTTGGCGGCGTCCTCTTAAAACTAATTATAACTTATGCTCCGTGCCGGTAACCGTATATTTCAGGGCGACGTTGTGCGGCGGGGGGTCCGTGCATTAAAACTGTAAGCAGATAAAACGATCTGAGTGGCGCAAAAGTTCAGGTAAAGCTGACATTTCTATTTAAAAAGTAAATTAACTTTATGAAGAGTCTCCAAAACATATTCCTGTGACTAAGACATCAGGCACACATTTGTCGCCGAAGGTAAAATATTAGAGCAGCGTACTTACTATACGAATAAAGATAAATATGCAGGAAGAATGCAGGTATAAACTGGATTTTACGTTAATGTAGTTGTGCGCGTCGCGGGTGCTACAGTACGGTCTTATTATGAGAGATAAAATTGAATCTATTCGACGGACCTTTTGTTTTCCTTAAATACTGTATTGCGAATATTTTGAAATACTCCGTGTATGGTTTTAATGTTCTTTTAGGGTTTAACGCTCGTTTTAACCTGCTGACTGCTTGCTCGCTTAGGTATCCCGTTACAAACACTCTGCGCCGACTGCATAGCGGTCGCAGTTTTCGGCATGTAACTTCTTTAAATCGGGACGGCAAATGTTTTAAATAAGCACGGCTATTCTCCGTTGTTCACAAAAGGACCCCCTCCGGATCAGACCCAGATGGGGTAGTCTGTCGGGCAGTTGTTCAGAGCAGCTGTCTTCTCCGCTGGGTGTTACTCCTAAAACAAAACTTTACAGGAGGGGTTTTTGGTCCGTCAGACGTGTGCTGAGCCCCCTTGCCGACACAGCGATGAACGGTAACAGTTCAACGATACTATTGATGGACCTTTGAACGGTATATGTCAGTCAGCGTGACGGCTGTGTTATGCTCCTCTCAGCTTTGCATAATGATGTGCAAGGCGTCTGACTTGGCAGAGGCAAGGCCGGACCACCCTTCCCAGACAACACTGTCCATTGTTAGGTCCTGATCTCCCCAAGGAGGCATTGTGGGAGAAGGACTTCACTTCCGCAAAGAGGAGGGAACATTCTTGTTTAGAAAGGCTGAAATACACACCCCCTCCCTTCAGTTAGTGTGGATAGTGTTTTTTTTTTTTGTAAATGAAAAGGAATAGTTTAAATCGGAGACCAGCTTTGGAACGTGTCCTAGTATTGATTGCACCTCTTTGTTTTTGCAACTCAAAACAATAAACAGTTCACACATGTTCCAGATTTTTTGTGTAATGGGAATTTCGGCATAGGGCAGACTGGACTTGCCTGTCATTGTCGCAGTGGGTGGGTCTAGGGCCGGGTCTATGCACATAGACTTTGGCATGTTCCCTGTTGGACAGGAGATGTCACAATCGCTGAATTACCCTTTATTTGATTTAATGAGAGGTGTGACTGACTGTCTGTGTCTTTCCTTCCCTTTTACAGAAGCGACGCTGAGTCCCTCCAAGTGCTGAGAGCTTGGCAATGCCTGTTCCCCCTCCACCTCCTCCGCCACCCCCCGCACCTCCACCACCACCTCCTCTCCACCCTGCCCAACCACCACCGTCCTCCTTAACGCCTCAGGTGGATATCCGTCTGTCCGGTCCGAGTGGCGTCATGGAAGGGTGGTTCAGAGACTTATATCGACATCTTGCTGATAGTTCCCCTCTAATGGGCGTCTCCCACGACCCGACTGTAACCAAAGCTGTGGCCAGGGCCCCTAAAGGTGGCGTGGCTTGGTTCGGTCCGCCTCGTTTGGCAGCTGTCTCATGCCAGTGGGGGTTTCTGTTCGACTGACGTTCTTAGCTATCTTGCCCTCGTCTTCCACACTGCAGGACGATCAGGCAGCCGGCTCATGTGATCTCTGCATTATTAAACAGGGGTATAGTTACACACCTACAAACATACATAGAGTCATGGAGTTGTGGAAAAAAAATTCAAAGCCAAATGGCAACATCATTTGCACAGGAGCAGGGCTGCCCTGCCTGTATTCTTTAGTGACTTTACCCCGTTTTCTGTTTTTTACCCTGATTTACTTGGGGAATACCTGCATTTTGTAATGGAAAGGATTATCATGCCCATTCACCTGTAATAGAGACCTGGAGGAATTAATTAGGCATAAAGAAAGGTCACCGTGGCAACATGATACCAGGATGAGAGACCTGGAGTTTCTGCGTGTTCGTCGTCAGTCAGAGTGACCATTCAGGGTCTGATAATATCATTGGTACCTATTGCTTTTTCTGAGCCTCTGGTGAGGCTGGAAAGTTATGAGTCTCAATTGTTGAAATGTTAGTGCATCACTGCCACATTATCATGAACTAAGTGTTTAAGTGAGGCATGGACATTTGTTTTTACATTTGTAGCCTCAAAAATGAGGCAGAAGCGATTAGGATTTTGTGAAAGTGAGCTTTTGAGAATCTTGTTGCCCGGTGGAACTATTTGTCATGTTTAATTCTTGGAGAGTACAAGAGGCAATAAGAGCCTTTACTGTATGTGTTGTTTTGATTTAAAGGCCATCTCTTGAATCAGACCATAAAATAACTTCAGAGCCACTTATTTTACTGGCCATGGTGTTGCCTTTTGTGCCCTGCGTTGGGTTGGTGCCCAATCCTGGGTTGTTCCCTGTTTTGTGCCCATAGCCCCTGCGATTGGCTCCGGCCCCCCGCGACCCTGAATAGGACAAGAGGGTATAGAAAATGAATGAATGGATGAATGGTTCAGCCCTTTATCTCTTATTTTCATGTATTTCCTCCCAGTCTTAACTCTGTTTAGCACTAAGAGTAAAGTAGTTGTAATAGTATAATAATAGTTCTAGTAATCAATGACAGTTATGAGGGTCCAGCTTTGCACTTAGATGGAATTTTGCTTTCTTTCATTTTCATGCCTAAAAGATAAAAATGGATAAAAAGTGAACCATTTTAAAATGATTGTGCTCCTATATCTAACCAAAATGAATGCTAAGGCAATGCTAACATGCTAATTGGCTGTTATAAGGGCAGTTCTTGCTATTTTAGCCCCTGCACTGGGTGAGCGGTCCGTGTCGGTCTCTCTGTCTGACAGGGATGGTCAGATCCCTCGAGGAGCCAGCGGCCGGCGACGGGAGGACGCAGTGCTCTCCTGGCCGACATCCACAAAGGAGCCAAACTCAAGAAAGTGGCCACAGTCAACGACCGCAGTGCGCCAGTGATCGACAGTCAGTACATCTTTACTTTGATGCACATGTGCATTTACACGGCTACCTTTGTGACCGTCTGACACACATGGCTACATACTTGAGGACATTGACGCACTCATATAAATATGCACGGTGACCTTGGCCGCTCTCTTCCTGCTTATTCGAGTTGCTTTTGACACACACTAGGCTGCCAGAAGCAGCAGGCGACGTGAGCCAGCCAGGGCAGGGTATCCCTCAGCCCCGGGAAATCCCGTCCTTGGCTTTGGTTGGGATCTTTCTTGCTCTGATATGAGGCTCCACGAGGTTCCGTTTTCTCAGCCTTTGCCGTTTCCTGCTGGTGGCTCTGTGTGGCCTGTGGCCTGTGGCCTGACCCAGATTCATCAAGCTTTGCATTAAGAAAAAAGCTATTTTTACCGAATCTACTGTGAAAAGGATTAGGGCAAGTGGTTCTGAAGTGGCTCAGGCCTGAAGACCCTCATTTTACTTTGATTATTAAGTCATGACCCCAACTGGTGGGGGAGGGAGTTGCAACAGTAAAAGTAAAATATCACACACTCCACAGCCCACTGGAAATGGTCCCACGAACCACCAGTTGAGAAACCCTGGGTTTGGTTCTGTACAGACTCTCCCCGGGTTACGATGGGGTTACGCGCCGATAAACCTATCATAAGCTGAAAATATCGTAAGCCGAAAAGTGCTTTTTAATACAACACACCTAGCCTAACAAAACATCCTAGCCTAGCCTAGCTTACCTTAAACATGCTCAGAGCACTTACATTGGCCAACAGCTAGACAAAATCATTAACACAAAGGCTCTTTTATAATAAAGTGTTGAATACCTTGTGTAATTTATTGATTGATGTACTGAAAGTGAGAAACAGACACACTATGGAGTATCGCTTGTATTCAGGCTGGGAGATGAAACGCACTGGCTGAAGCATCCGCTACGAATCATACTGAATATTACATGCCCGGGAAAAAAATTCGAAGTTCAAAATTGGAATACCCATCGTAAAATCGAAATATCATAGCATAGACCATCGTAACCCAGGGAGATGTACTATGTTGCATTTATATTTGCAGAAACAGATGTAACACCTGCATGTAAGTGACCTCTGCATGAAAAATCGTCAAGCTACTTCGACACTTATATCGACACTAAATTCGTATATTTTCACGCTTTGCAGAGGACCTTGTTCCCCCAAAGCTCTGTCTCTCCCCTTCCGCCAGCACTGCCTTCATCTCGTTTGGAAAGTTAAACTCACTGTCTGCCCTACATCTGTGCCGAGCGTATATCAGACTGAGGTTCTAATGATGTCCCAAGAAGGTATTTCGTGTCGCAGCGAGACTCTGCCGCTGCTCCTTCTCGGGACGCCGCCATTGGCTGCAGTACATTGAGGCAGCGTTTTCTGCAGGGTCTCTCCGGGGGGCTAATGAGTTAATACCTTTCCCTCACTGCGTTGTGCTCATGCTCAAGGTCCCTCAAGGTCAGTGATCTCAGAGCTGGAGCCGCTAACTCGCTTCGCCCTTACACACGTCAGGAAGGAATTTCGCGGAAACCGATAAGGATGTTGGCAGCATTGAATGTTGCTGCCTCCCACCCAGCCTGGGGTAAAAGCAGCTCACTTAGGGCTTCAGCAGGGCGGGGAGCAGTTGGATGTTGCAGTTATTTACTAATGAAATTGTGAATAGGCAGTATTCACTTGTGTTATAATGTGCGGAATGTGTATTTTTTTTCTTTTCCTCCAGAACCCAAAGGCAGCCGTCCAGATTCTGCTGTAAACAGCGGCGGCCTGGGTGGGTCTGGAGTTCTGGGGGGGCCTGTGTCCTCCGGACCCCCTCTGGCAGGTCTTTTTGCTGAAGGCTTTCCTGTACTAAGGCCGACAGGTCACAGGGACACAACTGGTAAGCACATTAATTCCTTTTCTCATGCTCTACCCTCCCCGCCCCCCCAGGGTGACCCTTGGAAAACTCAAGACCCTTTTGTTGTAATCTCACTCAGCCTGTCTCTGCCATGTTATATTATATTTTAGCGCCGCGGTCCAGCGGCTCTGGGTTGAGGCAGCCGGTTTGGAGTCCCCTGGCGTCTGACAGCTGTCTCCTTGAGGCCCCCGACGTGGCTCCCCCCCCGAAACTTCCGGACAGAGGGAGTCCCATGCGCTCCGCCGTATATCCGGCGGTCCCCGCGCCCGCCTGTAGCAAACCCTCGCCGCCCCCTCATGAGCGACCAATCAAAGCACCGCCTGCGCCACAGTGCCCGCCCCCTGCTCCTCCTCCACAAACCACCAAGCCCACCTGGCTGCCGGTTCAGCCCCATTCGCTTCCCCAGCCGTCTATTCCGCCTCCACCTCCTCCTCCGCCTCCCCCAGCCTTCCCTCCATCCAGCATCCCCGAACGCTCTGCCAGCTTCTCTTACCCTGCTGCCCCCCTTCCTCCTCCCCCACCCCCCATGCAGTTTGGTAACTTTCGGGACCCCCCACCACCGCCACCCCCCCTCCCCTATTCCATTACATCAAGCTATCCTTCAGTTCCGCCCCCACCCCCTCCGCCATTGCAGCCCCCGCTGCCTAAGGTACCCCCTGTCCCATCACCCGCTTTCAGAGCTGGAGTCCCCCCCCAGGCTCCCTCATACCCCACTACAGCCCCAAGCCGGCGACCCCCTGCGGTTCCCAGACCTACAGGTAGGTCTCCGCAGTGTTCAGGGAGCAGGGTTGGTCTATCTATAAGGAGATGGAGCAGAAGAACCTGGTTCTCCTCTCTGAACAGGTGCAGGAAGGTTTGCTCCACCCCCCGCTCCGCCCGCTCGATCCCCTGCTACAGAGCTGTCCAGCCGAAGTACGCCTCAGAACCCTCCCCCTCCCCCACCGCCGCTTCCACCTTCGGTCACGAGAAACGGTCACCTGCACAGTCTGGGTAAACACCGGCCGCCGCTGGTGATGTCATTTGTGGCTTTTGATGTCATTCACTACCGATGATGTAACATGATACAAAACTGACAAACACTATCGATAGACACACAGTTCTCTGTGCGTGTTCAATTTCTCTGCTGGAAATCCTCTGGAAGGTCAGTGATGTCACCCAGTGTTCTGGAGGTGGATTGAATCATTCAGCCTTTTTTTTACTGGTACTCTTTCAGATGACTTTGAGTCAAAGTTTCAATTTCATCCGATTGATGATTTCCCTCCCCCGGATGAATTTAAACCATTTCCTCGAATATACCCGAGCAAAGAAGCGAGAGGTAGGACCCAAAATATTCTGTTCGCATTTTGTGTATCACCATTTCTTGTCTGTTTTTAGTGGTCTTTAATCATTTTTGATGATTACTGGTGGTACTGGTGTTCCATTGGAGGGCAGTGTGTGGGTCCATTGGGACTGATCGGAATGTTGCAGGTTCAAATCCCATAGTTGGCGGAGTGAGCAGGACCCTTAACCCTCAGTTGTTCCAGGGACTGTCTGACCTTGGTTTGATGCTTTGGATAAAAATGTCTACTAAATAAATGTAAGTAAATAGTTCTGAGCCCCAATTATGGTGAGATTAATGTGATTTTTGTGCCTGTGTTTGCTACAGAGAGCACCAGACCTGCTCCTCTACGGACGCACATGCGATGAATTCAGCCTGCTGGGTTCTAGTACAGCAGCTCATATGAGAGAGTCGCAAACCTTCCACCTCCCTTAGGGGCTCAGAGCCTTGGAGAGGCAGCAGCGTCCGACTGACTCCCGCTGAGAATCTCCGGCGTGAATCACGGCTCTCCGAGTCGATCAGCCGATCGGCCGCCTTTCTCTCATGCCAACATGTATCCTCTCAAACAGCGGACACTGCATTGCTTGACGATCAGATGACCTGGTTTGCGCCCTTGCTCAATCATCCTTGCACATCCCATGCCTTGGGGTGCTGAGACTCTGTCCTTCTTGGGCCCCGGATGACCTTTAACCCATGTGAAGTGTCGATTGTGTTAGAGGTTTGTAAAAAGAGCATCAGCTACATCCCTGCACTGGAGCACAGCAGGAACACTTCTGCTACCGGCCTACGTGAGCCATCATATTATGCCTCAATTTTTTTTGTACTAAATTATTAACCTTTTTTGAATATTTTGAAGCTTGAGACAAGCAGATAGATGAGGCGCAGAGGAGAGTAGGTGCTGCTGACAAACATTTTGTTATTAGCGTTATGTGTGGATTGTTTTTAACGGAGATGTATCAGTAAAAATGGGAGGAGCCAAAACGCCACGTCATGGTCACATCTTGTTTTGTGTGTCTTTTCTGTGCAGTGGAACCACATTGTTTGTGCGCTTTCTGCTCTCTGGGTCGCAAACCAGTTATTACTGGGCTGTTTGGGTTAGACGGTTCAGATCTGACCTCAGTGCGTGTTTATCGCTTGCTTTGGAGTCATTGTCCTGATCTATTCTTCCTGATTCTGCTTAAGTTAGAATTGGGATATTGGAGTTTGGTGCTTGATTATTAAAACAAAACCCAGAACAACTTTCACTAGTTGCATGAATTTACACTACTTTCAATTCAAGTTAAATACTTTACACTCAGTAGCAAAATATGTAAATGTGGAATTTCCTTGTAATTTTTGTTTCATCGGGTTCCAATAATCGTATTCAGGGAAAAATACAGCAGAAAAGGTCATGAAAGATAAAACACGGAATACTCAGCCACTGTAAAATGTCTGACTGTTGAAAGCTAATGTTTTAAAAATAAGTCAGATTACTATGATTTACTTAGTAACTATACATTTGATACTATCACCTTGGACACTAATGGAGTAATATTTCACTCCAACCGCGACAACATAACATATAATTGTCAAATTGTAAATGACGTATAAAAACTGCCATTTTTATTTAACATACGTGAATGGAACGCAGGAGCTGTTGATATAATTACGAGTCCATTGTTATTTTCTGCCAAGGGTGTGTTACTATTTCCTGTACATAGTAACACTTGGGTTCGGTTCTGGACCACACTGAAGAGTATTTTACATGCATGACTAAACATTCCTTGAATGATCACATTCACGCTGTCATCACTGGGATGGGTTTGTCTCGGTTAGTTTAAGAGTTCTTTTAAACATATTTCGGTGGTGACTAAATTTTCAGGGTGAGTTTTTGGAAAAGAAATGTAATACTGATGCAGCCACAGTACACATTTAAAACTCTCACAGAGGCACCAGAATAATCTGTTCTTTTACTGCGAATAGAAAAACGCTTTCAAGTGTCCGAAAAAGGTTTTTGTTCCAGTAATGTCTGCTTGGAAATCATATTTTGCATGATTAAAATTGTTTATTAATTGGTCCCCTGGAATGGAGGATGTTACATGGAACAAAGAGTTCTAAGCATTTCATCTCTCACTGTGTCTTAAGCCTAGATTTTTCTAGGTGAAACCGCTCTAATAATAACATCAGTGTCGTTCATTAATATTTGATGTCTCAGCAGGGACTGGTTAATAGTACCCAACCCAAAATGTCGTTTGTCTGCTCAAGAAACCAGACCTGCAGAACCTGAAAATCCTGAACATTTAATCAGCAAATGCCATAAAATTAATCTTTCTTAAAATTACAAAAATTGCAGGATTTCTAAAAGTAGCGGGTTCGTTCTTTCACTCAGGCACATCACCTGTAGACTCGCAAAATTTCGTCAAAATAAAACTAATTTTAAAGGAGACTGGTACTACAGAGTAATGACATAAACCAACTGTATGAAAAGCTATACCGATTACAGTAATTCGCTTTCCACAAACAGATATAAAACCAAATAAGTTGCTGATTCTAAGATAAAAGCTGCATTGTCGCGTTGTGCTACGCCCCCTGTGCATTTCATTGGTGGGATCTGACACATGCATCGCCTTTCACTCTCAGCCCTTTTTATTGGATGACGGACCGTCCCCACTGTCCAATCATATGACGCGACTGGAAGGACGGAACTGTGATTGAAGAAACCCGTAAGGCATAGAAGGTTGCGCAAGCTGCCTAAGCTGTTGCGCGCTGTCTCCGAATTCACGAACGATTTTACTCAGACGGTCCGTGCAACGCAAATTAAACCGGCACAAGGCAGCAGAAATTTAGGTTTAGTTAGCGTGAGCATCGGTTGACCTGAAGTTGCATCGTAACTTAGTCAGGGCGTATAATGAACTGAGGAAAATAAACCATGGAGGGAATCCTGTATAAGTGGACTAATTATTTAAGCGGTATGTATAAAATGACGTAACAGTTTGCTGTTATTTTCAGCGTGCGTAGGACTGCAGCAGCAAATTCAGGACGCTCAGTAACAGTAGAGGTGGATTTGAATTAAGGCGATTTAGAGATAGAAAGTCGTCATCGGTCTGTAGCAAGAACCTAAAAAAATCAGCAATAACACGTGTAAATATTGCGTTATGTTACGAGCGGTTCTCTGTCGGGAGAATATAATGCAGTTAGAAAAACTGAGAATAGAATCATCAGCTCATTTGCGGTTGTGTTATTGGAGGAAAAAATAGGGTATTTTAATTTTATTTACAGTACGATCACTTGTTTCACCTTTTCTTTAGGCTGGCAGCCTCGGTGGTTTGTTCTGGAAGGGGGGACTCTGTCGTATTACGACTCTGAGGAGGACGCGTGGAAGGGATGCAAGGGCAGCATCAAAGTTTGCGTATGTGAGATACAAGGTGGGGGATGCAAAACAGCCGATCGGCTCCAGCAAAGTTCCAGAGCGGCAGCGGTCGAACAAAAAGGTTCTTATAGGGTTTGATTGCGAAATAACGCGATCATCGGCAGTTTAACGTTTCAGACTCAATTGATAATTATTTTGATATTCAGCCGAACTGAAAAAAGTCAGTGGTCGAGTTTGTATCACTCAGCTTTCAGCGTGAAAAGCCCTTGTGGGTAAACTTGTTACCCGCAACAATATGTGCCACCTTGTTTAATTATTCACAGTTTGCCTTTGGCAGTACATTTAATTAGCATTAGTTGCCCACGCAACTGCTCATTCGTTTGTTTTGTTGTTTTCTATTGGAATAATCGAGAGTACTTTACAAGGCTTAATTCACAAACTAATATTCCCCTCCACTGGGATGCAACATTCTTAGGTCCATTAACTTTGCAGCCCCCCATTTTCAGACATTAGACTAGTCTGTCAAATAAAAAAAGACAAGGTCAACATCATCCTTATTTTCATTTATATGTTTATTATTATATATTTCAGTTATATTCCATCAGGATTTATTGAAGCCTCTTGTGTATTTTCCATCAGAGAGCAGATACATTTTGTTTAAATTTTGCACACGTTAAAAAACAAGAATAATATCAATGCTGTGATAAGACTAAATATCTATAGCCCTTGATTTAGCTGGATATTTTTTGTTGAGGGAAACGTGTTTTTCTTTGGTAATGTAACAGTGCATGCCAGTGACCTCACACGCCTGGACCTGACGATCCCAGGTGAGCAGTACTTCTACCTGAAGGCCCTCAACGCCGCAGAGAGGCAGAAATGGCTTGTTGCCCTGGGAACGGCCAAGGCCTGTCATACGGACAACAGGACCAAGCGGGAGAAAGGTCAGGCGCCCTGACGTGTCTCCGCAGCAGATATCGCGTTACCATGCAGTCCTCTGCCTCATGAGTGCGCCTCCTTTGTTTTCGATTTTAGCATGCATGGCAAAACCCATTTCCTGTTTTTGATGGGCTCTGTCTTTAGAGCTCCAGGAAACTACAAAGGCTCTGAAAACCAAGATGTCTGAATTAAGGCTCTACTGCGACCTCCTCCTCCAGCAAGTCAACAGGATTCAAGGGAATTCTCCCAGCGCTGATGCAGTGGAGGTGAGCCACCAGCAGGGGGAGCTAATAGGACGGTGACTTAAGCCCTGAGGATGATCCGCTTTCTGTGTGCAGCAGGACGACGGCACCATGCTCAAGTCCACTTGCAGAACCTTTCTGAAGACGCTCAACGAGTGCATGGTCATCGCAGACCGGGCCTTCAGCCAGCCCACTATCCTGCTTCAGACTCCCCCTGGTTCCCCCACTGCCGTCGCTATCAAATCTCATAAGGTTAGACAATAAATAGACAGCTGTGTTACTCTCAGGGAGCAGAACATGACTGCTAATGGTAATTATGGTACTGGAATCCAGACAGCAGCTGGAGAGACTGGTCTGGAGCTGCCTGATAACAGCTACGAAAGATCAGGTTCTAATGTTTTTAGTCAGCAGGGAGATTTACAGTTGATTCTATTATTCAGGTTTTAATTGATAATAATTGTAGTAATTAATACTGGCTTCTCACCCGGGCTGTACCCCGGTCTTGTGCTCTGTTCTGCCTGGGATAGACTCCAGGCTTTTTATCACCCTGCCCAAATGACCAGTCATAAGATGGATGGATGGAATAATTAATGGTCAACTGCCAAATCAATACATTAATAATGACTTCTCTAACAGCTCTAAGTCACTCTTCTTCTTTATCAGGTAAAAACTGGAATCCAGTCGAATCAACACCTTCGTGAAAAGTATGTATTTTAGGGGCATTTTTCTGTATTCTGGTGAAACTTCAAATTAAAAGTCTTATCCCTCTAAACCCTCTAGTTCACCGCTAGGTACCTTACTCTACAGAGCTTATACAGGGGGTGTTTCCTCTTCCTTTCCCTCAAAAGGAAAAGCAGCTCCCGCAGCAGAGAGGGGAGAGTGAATCCAGGGCTGCCAGCTGATGATCGAGGGGCCGCAGGCGAGGGCTTGCAACCCCAGACTGAGGGTAAGTCTGCTCTCCACACCCAGCAGGGCTGTGATATAACTGCCATCGTTCACATTCAAGTCTGTATATACTGCCTTTTGCACACTGGCTACCATGCGCACTGTATATACTGCCTTTTGCACACTGGCTACCATACACACTGTATATACTGCCTTTTGCACACTGGCTACCATACGCACTGTATATACTGCCTTTTGCACACTGGCTACCATACGCACTGTATATACTGCCTTTTGCACACTGGCTACCATGCGCACTGCATATACTGCCATTTGTACACTGGCTACCATGCACACTGTATCTACTACCATTTGGACACTGTATATACTACCATTTTGCATGTGCACGTGACAAATGAAATCCTCAATCTTGAACTGAGTCTTGGTGGGCTTGCAGTTTTCAGGAAGCTTTGCTGCTTTCACAGCTGTGGTTTCGACCGTGAAACACTTTCTGTGAGAAATTTGTCAGTCAGATTATAGACTGAAGTGTGCTTTATTCTCTCTGTGGGTCTGCGCTGCCTTTCAGAGTCCAGCTCAGGGGGAGGAGCAAGCAGAGTCCCTGAGGGAGCTGGGAGTGAGCCTGGGGGGGAGTGGGCCAGTGGACCAGTGGAGAAAATGGACCAAGATGGATCTCCTGGTGCTGAGCAGGGAGAAAACGCTGCAGTGTCGCAGCAGCTGAAGGGTGTGGACCAAAAGCTGAGTCTCACTCACGATGAGGGACTGCGGGCTGTCATTCCAGATGAGAATAACTTCAAAGGTGTGGAGGAAATGAGCTCTGGAAATGAGGTTGACCCTGAGCAGACCACAGCAGCCAGAGATGTCCTCCCCAGCCAGACTCGGGGGCAAGAAAAAGGCTTAGAGCAGGTGGACCCAGCCAGCACCCTGAGCAGTAGGTATGAAGATCCTCCTCCATGATGGCCAACCAAAACAGGCCATGGGTGCTCCTTATGGTTCACGTCATTGGGCAGAGGTGTCCTACACACCCAGGGTTAGAGTCTGCAGCTCCTGAAAGTGGAGTATGACCATGATAATCCAGGTGTGCAGAGACTTCTGTGTGTGTGTGTTTGTGTGTGTGTATGTGTGTGTGTCCACGCATTAGTATTGCAGTGATTGATGACCTATGAGGTCCTGGCAGAGGGCTGGATGTTGCCGTAATGGGAACTCAAATAAAAAGCCATCTGAAGTCTCTCTGCTCTCCAGTTGCACTTTCATTTTTAGCCGTGGTTCCAGTTCATACGGTTAGTCTGGTTTTGCTGGGAGGGATGTGGCCTGTGTGAGTGTCCACTGCCCCCCCCCCCCTGGCTTCGTCCTTGATCAGCCGTTCATGACGTCCCCCCTTCT